ACTGGGGAGCAGTGCTGCTCTGTCCTTCACATCAACTATGAGCGGGAATCAGCTTGGCAGCGATGACTTGGGTTTTCAACCTCTAGGGGAGCAGAATGCCCAATCCTTTCTCCCACGGAACCCATCTTTACAGTGGGCAGCCCAGCACGTAGCTTCTGCGCCTCCAGGACTCCAGAGGCCATCACCATGAGGACAGCACAGGACCAGGCCATGGTAGGGTGTCTGGGAGTCGGCGGCGGCGTCAGCATGGTGGTGCCCACAGCGCCAACCACCCGAGTCGGAATGGCCCTGATGGCAGTGGGCCACAGAGACTCGGGCAAGCGGGTGCCGAGGGACCATAGGGTGCGTTGCACTGCACAAACAGCATGTAAATTGTTGCAGGCAAACACGTGACGCTGGTGACTGCAGGGGGCACCTGACCCTCTAAAACCCAATGAGTCACTAGGACTTGGAACAGTAGCGACAATGGTTTTTACTGCCAGTGCTGTAACCAATAAGTTTATGTCTCAAATCAGTTGGATAAAACATGTATTTTCAACCACCCTTTTTGCAATGAGGACGATTACATTCATCAAAGTTACTAAGGAACAGTCAGTAAACAGTAAATCTAGACCATCCACTCAGGCCATGGACATCTGGCACTCAGTGCCACAGTCCTTCTGACTCATGGTGACCATATAGGACAGAGTAGAAATGTTCTGTGTGTCCTGCACCTTATGGTTAGCAGACCGACATATAACCTCCTAGGGCACCCGGGCCCTTGAGCTATGTTATGACATTGTTGACTGCTTCATATGTATGGAAAAGCTGGACACTGGATAAGGAAGACTGAAGACGAATGGATAGGTTTGGATATGGTGTTGGCAGAGAATGCAGAATACACCACGGACGTCCAGAAGAGCAAACACATCTGCCTTGGAGGAAGTGCAGCCAGCACGCTCCTAGAAAGCAAGGGTGGAGAGACTGTGTACCACCTACACTGGGCACATGATCACGCGAGATCCGTCCCTGGAGAAGGATAGCGTGCCTCATAATGCAGGCAGGCAGTGAAACAGAGGAAGAAAGGCCCTCAGTGAGGTGCACGGGCACAAAGGCTGGACCAGTGAGTTCAAATATGTGTACTAGCATGAAACGATACAGGATTGGCAGCATCTTGTTCAGCTGTACAGATGGTCACTAGATCGCAGAACAGCACCGCAACAACAAAGGCAGTCTTACAACACAATACTGGTAAGTAAGTGAAGGCCTTTATCTTATATTACAGGAAATGTAACCAAAACATTTACGTCTCAAAGCAGTTGGATACAAGGTGCATTATCAACCATTTTTTCACATTGAGGACTATCATTTATCAAAGTAACAGTAAATAGTAAATTTAGACTATAAACTCAAGCCATGTATAATTCACCTCTAAATGGCATCTTCTTCGATAAAAGCCTACGATGTAAAACATAAAGCAGTCCACCTCAGGAGGTACAGGACAGCTGATCTTTGTCTTCACCGCACTCAGGGGAGGCCGTGAACAGCCCTGGGGTGCCGTCCTCTTCTGAAACGCCCTGTGTTGCTGTGAGTCAGAATCAACTAGACAGAAACGGATTTCTGGCTCTTTAATGCCATAATTGTCATTGTTGTTGTTGTTTTTATCTTGTTGCTGTTTTTGTCTTTGTACTGGATGCTTTTCTGTATAGGAAACCCAGGTAGCTAAACCTATAGACACAGTAACTGGGCTAATCATTACCTGTGAGTGTGGCAGAGAGGCTGGGGGTTGATGCGGAGCCAACAACAATGAGCACAAGAAAGAAGAAAATGTTCTAAAATTGAGTATGGTCATGCTTTCATAACTCTTCCCAATATAAAGGAGCTATTGAATAGTAGGACATATGAATTATAGGCCAATAAACCTGTTTTTAAATATGTAAAGTATCCGACACATAATAAATGTTTAATGTAATAAGTATTAGTCAGTAATAGTTTATATGTTATTGAATTTTCAAGTAGTAGGCAATTGAACTTTCTCAAAGCATTAAAATCTTTATCATTAAGTCTCTTTGGCCATATGTTTACCACTCTGAAATCAACACTGTATCCCAGCACTTTATTTAGGCTTGAGTACAGGTACAGACTGTAGTGGAGTACTTGAAGCACAGGGTTCCGCCTTGGACTGCTAAGGTGAGATCAGCAGACTGACTCCATCAGCCTGCTCCAGAGAAGAGAGAGAGGCTAGACCTGCAGAGCTTCAGAAGTCCTATTGCATGGCATCTCAAGCAGATTCACTCAATGGCAGGGGCTAGTACATACGGATCACCAGTGCCACCTAGTGGCAAATTGCTAATAAATGCACCAAATGAGGAATGTCCGTGTGATGTGAGCCATGGCATAATTTTACGCGAGACCCTGTAAACCAGTGGTTCTCAACCTTCCTCATGCCGCGACCCCTTCATACAGTTCCTCATGTTGTGGCGCCTCTCCAACTATGAAATTATTTTTGTTGCTGCTTCATAACTGTAAGTTTGCTACTGTTATGAATCGGGCGACCCCTGTGAAAGGGTAGTTCAACCCCCAAAGGGTTCGGGACCCACAGATTGAGAACCAGTGCTGTAGTCAGTAACACTGCCCCATGGGGTTTCTTAGTGGTAATCTTTAAAGGAACTAATTTCCTTGTCTTTTCTTCCACTAAATGGATTTGACCTGTCCACCTTTCAGTTAGCAACCAAGCATGCTTCTCATGTTTCCCATAAATCCAAAAAACCTAACCCATCAAGTTGATGCCAACTCAGAATGACCCTATGTGTGTGTTTGCCAAGAAGACAGGGGCAGACAGCCTCGCCGATCTGCCGTGGAACGAACGACTACTTAGCAGGCCGATGGTTAGCCCACACACAGTGCCATCGGAGTTATGTTACCCATGCGGGGGTAAATCTTCTAAAACAGACGCTTTAAAAAAAACAAGCTAAATATAATACAATTATTTAGAAATTTGTGACAAGCTTCAGACAGAACTTTGGGTGCAGTAGAAATGAAAGTGAAGAAGTATGAAACAAATGGAAGACAAGAAAAGCCTTGTTCTTCGTGAGCCAAAAAACTAGGTTCACATACACTTCAAAATATTTTGAAAGATTACCTCAATTTCCTATTGTTGAAAAAGTTTTCTGTGCTGGATTTCTTTCCAGGCTCTAAAGTCCAGCCGCTGTGCACTAAGTAAAGCACGATGGAGCTCTCTGGGGCTTTATCTACTAGAAGTATTTTCTCAGCAGAAAATCTTGACGATGTCTAAGGTATTTTCAACTTTGTGACTTGGGCACTATGCAGCTATATTAAAGTCAAAGAGTTAGAAATGTGTGGTCTTGGTGTAGCTGAGGCAGCACAAAGACCCTAGCAGGATATGAAGTTACATGATCAAACAACATGTAGGGTACTGAAGAAAGGTCCCCAGAATAACACCAACAGCTCTACTTTTCTGGTCAAAAGTTACCCAGAGTCTCCTTGCCTTGGGTTCGATTCTGACTCACTGCAGCTCTTCCTGGGACTCCCAAAGCTGTACGGCATTATGGGAGCAGATAGCTCATCTTTCTCCCAAGGAGCGTGTGGTGGCTTTGAACTGCCAACTTCGGGGTGAGTAGTTCAAAGCTTACTCGACAGCACCACCAGGGCTGTTCTCAAAGCTTCACAGGCCTCAAAATTGTATTAAACCACAGCAATCTATGCAGGGAAACCTCACTTTGCACAGTCCTCTGATGTGCAAAACCCCAGTCATTGCGGCTTAGTGAGATGACACCCGTCTTTCAGCAGCACAGCTCATGCGGCTGCTATTGTGGCATATTAACTATAACCATCTACGCTGCAGTCTTCACGGCTAGTCCACGACTCACAAATCACTGCAAAACTAACGCCCTATACATCGTACTCCGTGACCAATCGTGACATTTCTTTCAAACTCTGTCGGTAATTGGTCACAGTACATGTTATTCAATTCATACAGATAAAAAACCCTATAATATTAAAAATCCAAGCTTTAAATAATGGTCCATAATGGCAAATAGTCAGTACTTGGCTACATGCATCAAACATTATTATTATTATGTTAAAGATATTTTGTGTAGCTGGCAGTGTTTATTTACTATTTTTATGCATATAAAGTTACATAATATGCCAAATAAAAGGACAAGCATTTGACTAACTGATGTTAGCCATCTACCACGCACATTGACTTCAAGACAGTCTTAGGAATGGAATGAAGTTGTAACCCAGGGGGTGCCTGTAAATGAGGTTATAGGAGAAACAGCTGGAACTGGGAACACTTTGGCCATCAATAAGCTCTAGTACTATAACAAGAAAACATCAACTTACCAGTATGAATGAGGAGAGTTGTTGGGATAAAAATGTATCAGAGTAAGTGATGGGGCAACTAAACTACATATGAAAGGGGCTCTCAGGGATATTTCACAACTTTGAAAGTGCAACAACAACAGGTGGGCATCAGATTCGCTCCCAGAAAGGCACAGAAAAGATTCTTGCTCTCTGGCCTCCTTAAGTTGTGATCACAGAGCAAGGACTGTTCCGATGATTCGGGGTTAGTTTTTGCAAGGAAATAAAGCATTCTAGTTCTCAAGTTCTATAATGTTTTAAATTACAGTGTGTGGAATAAATGTCAGCTGTTCGTTGATTTGCATTTATGGCTAATAATGCCAGGGTTTCGTGCTTTGGGAAATTATTTTACAGGTCTAATTTTCTGAAATCATTTTGCATGGCATTTTCTATGGCCCCGCACTACTATGAAAATGAAGGCTGCCTGTATTACTGATGCCTACATTATTCTTTCAAATTGTCAGTCACAGCACACTTATGTCATTTTAGAAACCAACAATTATTACATGTTAATATTGTAGTCAGTCACCTTCTAAAGATATCTCATAAATTACTTTCAGTATCTGCAAATATTATCTTTAAAGATGTCACTTCTCCAAGCCAAACCCAGACATAGCAGAGAATGCCTCATGTACCTGGCAGTGGTAACTGAACTAATATACCACTGACTCTTGGGTCCACATTCAACTGATCCACTATATCCAAAAGTTCTTCCTGAGATACAGTCTGAGGTTTTAGGATGACCTCACTGCAGATACCTGGAAGAAAATAAGAGAAGATAATTTTATTAACAAAGACCCATTACTTGCATTGTTGTTTTTGTTGAAGATGGTGCTCAATTCACCATCAGGAGTGGTGGTTGTTGTTGCTGCTGTTGTTAGGTGCCACCACGTCGGTTCTGACCCAGAGTGACCGTGTGCACAACAGAAGGAAACCCTGGCCGCTCCGGACCATGTTCACACTTGCTCCTAGGCCTGAGCCCATTGTTGCAGCCACTGTGTCAAGTCATCTCATGGAGGGTCTTCTGCTTCTTCTCTGCGCTTCTACTACAGCCAGGCATGATGCCCTTCTCCAGGGACTGCTCCCCTGACAACCTGTCCAAAGTACGTAAGATAATGTCTTCCATCTTTCCTCTAAGGAGCACTCTGCCTGTACTTCTTCCCTAACAGATCTGTTTATCCTCTTAGCAGTCCCCATAGTTTCAGTAGTCTTCCCCAGCACCATAATTCAAATGCATCAATTCTTCTTTGGGTTTCCTTATTCAATGTCCGATTTCCACATCCATAGGAGATGACTGAAAGCATCATAGCTTTGGTCAGGTGCGCTTTAAAGCTCACAGTAACTTCCTTGCTTTTCATTACTCTGAAGAGGTCTGTGCAGCAGATTTACCTAATGCTGTGCATCTTTTGATCTCTCCATTTCAGCTTCCATCAGCAATGATGATGGATCCCAGCAAGAGGAATTCCTTTTCTTCATTCATCTTGATACTACCTATAGGTCCAGGTGTGAGGCTCTTTACATTGAGTCCAAATCCATACCAAATGCTGCAATCCTTAGTCTTCATCTGCAAGAGCCTCAAGTCCTCCTCACTTTCAACCAGCAAGGATGAGCCAGCTGCATATCTCAGGTCGTGTTACTAAGCCGTCCTCCAATCCTGATGCCACATTCCTCTTCGTATCACCCAGCTTCTCTAATGGTTTGCTCAGCATGGTGAGTGAATACAACTCTGACGCACACCTTTCCTGATTTTAAATCACGCAGTGTTCCCTTGTTCTGTTTCCACAACTGCCTGTTGATCCATGTACAAGTTCCGACTGAGCACAATGAAGTGTTCTGGAATCCTCATTCTTCTCAAGGTTATCTATAGTCTCTTATTGTCCACACAGTTGAATGCCTTTGCATAGTCAATAAAACTATGACTATGCTTGCCAGTACCCTCTGCTTTGAGCCAAGGTCCGTCTGACATCAGCAATGATATTCCTTATACTCCGTCCTCCTTCGAATCTAGCCTGAACTTCTGAGAGCTGCCTGTCAGTGCACTGCTGCAACCATGCTTCAAATACTTGAGATGTTTGCTCATGATTCATGACTAATTAGACCCTTTTTTGGTGATGTCAACTCTTTCACATGAGGTTGCTGAGTCGAAATTGATTTGACAACTGTTACCAGACAGGGACCTTGATGATTCATAGTAGAATTCTCACCTTCCATGAGGGAGAGAAGGTTTCTATTTCTGGCAGATGCACCTCAGGCACAGCCAGTACTACCCATTGGTCAGTGGTGGCCTGAGTCACCAGCATCACTGTGATACTGAGTGGGTCCATTGGAGCTTCCAGATTACGAAGGACTAGGAAGAAAGGTGGCCTACTGCTGAGATCTTACTCTCACAAATAAACCCATGGGTAATGGATCACAATGGAACTATGTCCAATGTTCAGTTAATACCAAACATGGAGGTGGAATGGACTTGGTAGTTCTGTGTTCCATTGTGCATCAGCTCACTGCGATTTGACAGCAGACTCAAAGACAGCCAACAACAATTGTTATTAGATTTCAAAACTTAGATAAAAATAATCGCCACTTAAAGGCCAAGCTCTATAGAATGAACTAGACTACATGCATTATTCGATGAAAATAAATATAATAAAGACCAAAAAACCAAACTCACTGCCAGCAAGACGATTCAGACTTGCAGAAACCCTGTAGGTAAAGACAGAACTGCCCTGTGAGTTTCTAAGACTGTCGCCCTTACAGGAGTAGAAAGTGCCGTCTTTCTTCTGCAAAATGGCTGCTGGTTTTGCAATGCTGATCCTGCAGCCAGCAATCCAACGTGTAAGCACCATGCCCCAGGGCTCCATGAATAGAGGCCAAATGCACTGCCATGGAGTCAACGCTGAGTCTGAGCTACCTCCCCCCACCCCACCGTGAACTCCCGAGACTGGAAGTAGAAAGTCCAGTCTTTCTCCCTCAGAGCTGCTGCTGGTATTAAACTGCCAACATGAGGGTCAAAACTCCAAACGTCACCACTGCACCACTAGGGGTCCCTTCAGATGACACCCTATCATAGGCTCTGAGGTCACATTTGATAGATTCTGTAAGAAACTCTAAATAAAACAGTAAGAAATAAGCATAAACGTTGGCAATGATCTTTCATGAAGATGGTAACATCTGTTATTTAGATGTCACTTATTTGACAGTTATCCAAAGAAATTATCATACTGTAAAGTAAAAATAGAAAACACACTTAAAACAGTGAACTAAGCCACATACCCACCTACAGTGGAGGCAGCCCTTATCTTATTCCTGACGTAGGTGTGGCTTGCTGGGTTGTCTCCCACTAGAATGATACTGAGATGAGGCCTTCTGTTCCCAAGGGAAATCCATGATTCCACACCTTGCTGTATTTCTTTCTGGATTTGTTTGGCCATTTCAGTTCCCGAGATCACAATGGCTTCATGTCTATAGAAAACAAAAGAATACATGGGACACTAAAGAGACACTAAGGCATAATCAACTGCATATATTTAAGGTACAAGAGTGAGCAAAAATCTGTCTTGTTTTTGTCCATGTTATTATTTCTGCAGGTCTAGCTAGATAAGAGAGGCTGGATGAACAATCTGGAGGAGAAAACAACAGGACCGACAGTTCTGGGGGGACATGGGAGAGGGGGAGGTGGGGG